GTGATACATTAGGGACAGGTTGACAGTCATGTGATGCATTGGAGACACGTTGATAGTCACGTGATGCATTAGCGAAACGTTGATAGTCACGTGATGCATTAGCGACAGTTTGATAGTCACGTGATGCAATATGGACACGTTGCTAGTTATGGAATACTTCACCGATCACATGCTTTATATTTATTTTCTCTCTATCAATATTTCACATATTGTTGATCATTGATTAAAAGAAACCCGTGCGTTTATGTATTGAAATTACGGAAGTTCGATTTTCAGGTGCTCATAGTTTGATATATATAAGTGTTTTAGCACTTGCATAAAGAAAAATCTGGATAAAATCTTCTTAAGTAAACTATATATACAAATAAGACATTTATACACCTCGTTATGTCAACACTTCRGCAATCCCTCAGAATTAACAACAGTTTGTTATTCCGACCATTAACCTCAGGGTCCGTGTTATCAAAGGTTTGATCATGAACAGTATTCATTTATAATTACTAAAACTTTTGTTAGTCCGACCATACTTCTCAGCGTCCGCATCTCGAAGTAACCAGGATGTATAATTCATTAACAGTTTTTATTCAAAATTATTAATGTTTTGTTATTCCTTTCCCTTCTCCTGTGCGTCCGGAGCGTGGAGATATTAGATTAAATACATAGACAGTTTTCATCTATGAMCAGAGCTCTTTGTTTATCCGACCATTTTCTTCAGCTTCCGTAGCGTAGAGGTGACAGATTAATTCACAAATACCAACACTATTCCGATGTCATCCGTATCCGAAAATGTGTTATTTCGACTGATCATTCTTCTCAGCGTCTACTTTGTCAAAGTGTGTTATTCCGACCATTCGGATTACCGAAATGGTCATCATGACCAGTAATTCTGTTAGAATTACCAACGTATCATTATAACGGGCGTTATGATGCCCGGTTTAAGGCCCCGTCCACACTAAAGCGTTTTCGTTTGTATCCGTTTTCAATAGGTGTGAAAACGTATAGATTGAACTGCGTCCACACTAGCGTATTCAAGCGTTTCAGTGTGGACAGTTGAAAACACAAATACGGTCATATCGATCAAATTACATGTTTTCTGCGATAAAGAAAACTCAATAAAACCAGAAAAAAAACTGCTCAAGACGCTTTCATCTGGACAGATGATGAAGTTGAACTTCTGTTAACAGTTACAAACGAGTAGAAGGTTTCAAAACGCACGAAAGCGTGGATTGGGAGTCAGTCCAAAGCAAATGCAGTCATTCTCGAACGATTCAAAAAAACACATTCCATCGACAGAGGAAAAAAACTCCCAATCTCTTTCATCTGGAAAAGACTTGCCACAAAGCAGACGATATTACTAAGAATATTTAACTACAAAACTTAAATCTATAAGACCAAGGGGAACGATGACGTCATCGTTTTCAAAAGGAATCGTTTTCGCTGTCCACACTGACCGGGATGCCGTAGCGTTTTCAAAACGCTTCACTTTCAACAGCGTTTTCAAAAGGCTCCGTTTTCGATGAAAACGCTCAGCGTTTTCGAGCGTATTAGTGTGGACAGAAGGGCAAAACGCATACTTTTCGATTCGTTTTCAAACGAAAACGCTCTAGTGTGGACGAGGCCTAAGAGGTACACTCATGGCTATACTACCCCGATGTCGTAACTCTCTCAGTCCTTTCAGCATCRGTCATTTCTACAGGCGTAGATGCCCGCCGTATTACCCCCACTAACATATCCTTGCACGCTGCTTTAAGCTCATTACTCCTCAACCCATAGACCAACGGCGTCAAGCACGAGTTAACGTACAGCAACGTAAACGTTATTTCGCGGGCCAAGTTCAGAGATGGGCTTCGTCCTTTGATAGCRATGCCAATAACCACGGATACAAATGGTATATAGCAGATGAATAATATAGAAGTTATAATCCCCATTGTAATCAATGCCTTTTTGTATTGAGCGATGTCGAATGACTTTGGAGGGAGATCTTCTTTGTGTACTATGCTGCCATTGTGACCTACCCTTCCCTGTAACTTTTTAAGTGCAGCCAAGCTTTTTGAATAGCATATGACTATTATTATCAAACAGAAAAACATAATAACAGCAGCAAACGCCATGTATTTCTCCTTTTTCGCAGCAATACGTATCGACGTTACGGTAGCTGCGAACATCAGYGCGCAAATCCCAGTCCATACTATACGAGTCGTTGTTACGATCGTGCGGTATTTAACGCCAGTTGTAATAGCCAAATATCGATCCACGCTRGTCGCTGTTACGATAAAAAACGACGGACAGCAGATCAAATGCGCAAGGATATCCCCAGCTTGTAATAACTTACAGTACGTATCGTAATCTTTCTGTAGCGCAGCGATCTTACGTAAAATRTACAATGGTTGRACTAAAATCCCAACACCTAAATCCGTAAACGCAAGACTGCATATGAGAAAGTAAGATGGCTTACGTAAGCTTGGTGTACGYGTAATCGTTAGGATAACAAGCACGTTGAATAAAACCGTAGGGACGACCAGGATTGCGTTTGCGGTACATACGAGGATTTCATACGTTGATCCCCAGTTCTCTGACTCTACGTTTTTAGTGATAATAAAACTTGTGCAGAGGCGCTTGTCTGACATGTTCGTTATTAGTGGTTCTCAATGTTTTTAGTTCTTTGAACTTTTCTCCTGTATTTCTCTTAATATGTTTTCTTCAATGGATATTCAAAGTGTTGATATTCTGTACGGTGTTAATTCAATCTGAAATGAAAGGCAAAAAGAGTCATTGAATCAATGTTGTTGTTTTTTTCTGTAGTTTTAGATCACTTTTACGGTGAACGTCAAGGCATCATATGGCTTTTATTCTTCGCGTTCAAAATTTCAGCGAAACGTAAAAACACTTCGAAAGAAATAGCAAATATAATGCGCTTATGCACGAGAAAACGATCGAATTTAAATACAAACTTAAAAGAGAGAAGCATTAATACAGAAAACAGTAATCACGCGTGAATAGATTTGACGTTTGGCGTTCCCAGTAAAGATGAATCTTAACCTCTAGAAGGTAACAAATGACWGTCTAGTTCTCACTTGCTGATCGAGCTAATAGATGTAAGCTCGGTAAGCTTCAAATCAAGTKCTTTTGATTTTATCGAATCCACCGCTTTTTATAGACCTCTGCAGCTTTTACGTCATGTACCGTATACGCAATGGGTTGTAGGATATGTTTGGGACAGAACATGGCGGATTTCTTTTGTTTTCTCTTGAAACTGATCCCACAATGCATTGAAAATCAAGTAGTGACGTAAAAGGTTCAGAAGTCTATTGCGCAACTAATTTATGCCAATAGCCTCCCTTTTTCACAATGAATCAAACCATTCTGACCAATGAGAAACTCGGATAGAAAAAAATAGAAACTAAATTAGCATTTTAATCAGTTTGATGTCAAATCAAATCAAAATGAAGTGAATTAAATTTGACTCGGTGCTAAAAGTGTATACATTTACAAATTGTCTTCTGTCTGTTGGGAAAATCATAGCTGTRAACATAGACATATTTGAAATCAATAGCTAAGTGAAATTGGCATCGTATGAAATAAAAACAGCTTTGTGATGATCGGTTATTAAGTCGGGGTGTTCGGGCTTTCAATAAAAGTATAACATAGGACGTTATTACAAGTTAATGTATACACCTAATTGAAGAAACGTTGTCGGGTCCAAAAAKGTCAAATCATAGAAGCTAAGACCGAAAGGGTACTTGGGAARACAAAMAATTTGGCTAATTTCATAACAAACAGCTCTCCAGCATAAAAGACTATCATGCTGTTAATCTTACTAGCTCTACTTGCTTTCTGTACACCGTATATGCAAATGTAATCCCAATTTAGTGGTACTCAAAATCCCTTTCGGTCTTAGCTTCTATGACGTGAACACGACTACGGTTTTTCAATTAGGTGTATGTATGCATTATTTTTTTTTTTTTTCATTCTAAAAATAGAGGCAGAGAGACCGCAGCACGTATCTAGGAAGCACATTTTTCTAAGATAATATTTCTTGGAAAGCTCGTTTAACATCATATAACATAAATAACTCTTTCAAAACCTTCCAAGGTTGTCATAGCTTATTCCTATATATATTGCCAATGAAAGATGACTCTATTGTTAATGTTCTAAATCTGTACAGTAAGGTAGACAGCTAGTATATCTTTTTGTTAAAAGAAATAGTTTTTGTGTTCTAATGTACCATTTCTGGTATYTATGGAATAGAGAATTATTACTATTATAATATTGGAGTCCTAAGCAAAAGGCTGAAGGATTAGCTATAATGAATTCGACGTTAGAGAATACACAAGCATTTTTTTTTGAAAATATGTACCTTGAAAATAATGACCTCGTTCCATGATTTCCTGATGGTAGAATTAAACTCAGACATAGTATACTGAAAACCAGTTTCATGCTTTTACGAAAGCCTATAGCGGCTATGTTTTTTTAAAAGAGTGAACTTAGAATATCATTCTAGCAATCTTTTGCTGATAAAAATAATTTCAAGTCGTTTTAATAAAATAAGCAATTTTCCCATTACGYCTTACAATTACACTGTGTAGGAGGTGTATAATCTGCGCTGTTTTTGTAAAATCTTGTGTTATCTCGGTCAATCTGAGCGTGGCAAGTATTCTATGACTCCCATCGTACAGAAACGTGAGCAAATGTGCTTGTTTTAATTGYGATAGACTGCTGTRAGRGAATCAAMACTGCCCACACCAAAATTGCTCAGCAAATCTAGAAGAATAACTGATCGTGTAGAAATGATGTAATTATCCATAGAATACGTGCGCATGTACACCCTATATTTATCAATTTTGAAAACTAGTTATTTTCCTAGTGAGATATATCACCTAATGGATGTTCTCTATACCTGTTTATGAAAACAAACACATCCATATCACCTCCTACGTACATTGCTATATGCTCGCTCTTAAAACATCTTTTGAATACTCGAAAATAAAACCATTTAACATATAATTATATATGAAATACCAATATTTCTTCATTTCGTAAAGTTGTTATTTTCGCTACGCTCAACTTTTCAACACTCGAAGATGAAATCCTTATCTCCGCCCGCCCATTTAATATCCTCTATATCTCCGCGTGTCCATGTAACATGCCCTATATGTCACTGAATTTTAACGGTTTTTCAGTGCGATTATAGACTTTGAGGAATATAAACTAGACGATATCAGAAGTATTAGATCATTGATCTAGGGCATTAAATGATAAGCGTGTACATTGTTTGTGTAAAAGGGCGATCCATAAGGAGGGCCAGGGGGGGCAGGGGGGGGTGGGTTTGTGGAGGGATTAGAGGTTGTTGGAAGATTAAACAAAAAAAAAAATTCTACACGGACCACCGGAGGGTCGAAAAACAAGGCAAAATTTTGAAAAAAAAGCACTAAAGCTTTTGTAATTAAAATTAATAAATAAATAAAATACAATATAAAATAAAAATTCATAAAAATAAATAAACATCCATGCGCGCGCCTGAATTCCTAAAAAAGAAGATCTCGCGCGGACAAAATCTTCCCCTCCCTTCTAATGTTAAATCGTCCGCCCCAAAGTGAAAGCGACTCGTCATCGCAGCTAGTTTCCTAAAGTCAAAAACGTAGCTCACGCGCTCAAATCACGTTTTACAGACACTTCATGCTGCTCTATGTAAACAATTATAGGATTTTGAATTTAGAAGTTATGCCTGGACCACATCAGGAGACCTGCTGATGTTCTGTTTAGAAACGGACTTTTTTTCTTTTTACCAATCCCCGGGCGGCTAATGCTGAATGATGTCACATGAAAAAAACTACGTCTTTAATTTTTACTGCATTCAACTTCTTTAAGACAAAATCGGCTCTTGGGGATGAGAGGTTTTCTTTTCCCTCCTATAAGGCACTCCGCCGGCCTATGAGAAAAGACTTACAAGTGCGTTGAGAGAAGCTATAGTGTCAAAACATAAGCGATTAATGATTGCGATATTGAAAAAAATTGCGAAATAGCTTGTAAATTCACTTTTACTTACACAGCATTTCAGCGACAATAGATTGACTTAACTGAACAAAATTACCTTTATAATGCAATATTATGCAGGGACCGCGGAGCAGGGGGAGCTGGGGGGCTAGAGCCCCCCCAATAGTATTTCCGACAATTTGAATTTTCTTAAATAAAGAAGCGAAGAGCCTCCTTATGAATTCTTTGGGATTTTATTGATAATATTGCTGACCGTGTCTGCGGTAAATATGTCTTGTTGATAACGCCTCAAAACGCTGGAAATGGCATTTCCGAGAGTTAAGATTTCAGAAATTTCCGATCCCCCTAGTGACCTCCTCGCCGCTAGCCCCCCCAAAAAAGATCCCGCTCCGCGGTCCCTGTTATGTAACATGTTTAGGCAAATCTTATATTTAATTCTGAATACTTAAAATCCCCTTCGGTCTTTTAGTCAGGGTGCAATTGCAATCCCGTGTGAATTCTGTGCGTAAAGCAAGCCACTGGTCTAGATTTGTTGAGGTGAAATTACTGAACATTGTTTTTGCTTTGATGRAATCACCTCTTTATGACCTGATAAAGTTCTTTCAATGAGGTGTTGACTCAATTCTCACTGTTGAGCAATACAGTTTCGAATGAAATTTAACTTGTTCAGCACAACAGTGTGAAAAACTAGATAAACATTASTTTGTATGTTAAAGTTACACTGAATTTTCAGGATCTTTAGGCACTGCCGGTACGGTCTAGTGCGAGGCCATAAAGGCGTACACTCCATAGATTTTGTGTTGATTTTATCAGCTAGATAACGAGTTTATATGTAGTGAATTCGTTCAACGGTCCCCAGTACAAATATACAAGGAGWTCTAAAATAACACCTATAAATGCAATAAAAACGTTCTCGTAGAGAAAAAGAACATTTACAGTTATAAGTGAAAAGGAATATTTTAAAAAGCGCGCAAAAAGCGTTTGTCCTGAGTAAAAAGAAATTTCACTGAACTCACTGAAGTACAAATCGTGTGTTCCTTTCTGCGAACATTTTTGCAGTTAGGGGATTATTTATAAACAAAGGAACCTCATTACATACAAACTTCCATGAAAATACAAATCCTGTAAAAAATTCATTTGACATTATTTTACAACCGTTTTTGCCATGTTTTTCGCACAGCATGAGATCACAAATTTGTTGCATATATATATTTTTTCAGTTCTTCAAAGACATATTATTTTTGTTATCATAACAAAGTTTTCTTCTGAAGAAAACATAGAAAGAAAGAAAAGGCTGGTCTTTTCTGTTTCGTGTCGTTGCCCCTAGGTTGTGCAAACAGAGTCAGCGATTTCTAAGCATTTGTCCAAAACCGTTTTCAATTTGGGCTAATAGATCGAACTTTTATTTTTAAGATGAAAAATATCCTACGAAATCGACCAAGCTAGGAATTATGGCAGCCGCAGAGCTATTAACATTAAGCTTASCTCTAGAAAATTCCAAATTCCAAGTTCCTCACTGTGAAAGCAGACTCGAATGAATTTACAATTGCCATCATTCAGACAACAACGAGTCAGGTGAATTCAATCTAGCTAATTTCCTGTTTTCCAAAATTCATGGCAGAATCGTTAACAAAATTTCAAAAGCGCCTTATGAGAGCTAATTATATTATGGATTTTTTAATCAACTAAACTTCAGAAGCATATTTCTATATTGCATTTTGACTTACCGTTCATTGAAACTTTGTCTCTTTGT